AATATTGCAGAAAGCATATTTTTTAACGGTTTAAAGAACATTCTTTATTCTTATTAAAACTGACAGAACAAGCGTTTGAATATGAGGTAACAATATGGCATCATGAAAGATGTATAATATATTAATAAAAATATATATAATAGTTTTATGGATTGAATCAACACATCCTTAAAATGTTCTCTTCCAAAAGAGAATCATACAACGCCCACCACTTTAAACCTTTATTTATCTGAGGATATGCTTATAATGTTTCTTTAACATTAAAGATGAGAAGGCATAAGAAATTGAATATTGGTCAAAGTCATCCAAGACCAAAAACACCGATTAGCCGACTGATTTGAAAAGAGGGAGCAGCCGTCGTAGAAGTGTGTAACGCTGTAGTGGAAACTTATGTCTCTGAATTCTATCAGGGCAGTGGATGCAGGTTACACCAAGTCAGCAGAGTTATCTAAGCTAGGCTCTCATGTGTAACATTTCCACCACACAGTGATCACAGCGTGGTGTCAGCAGCCCGTCTTCACCCAGTATCCCCCAGGCCGGTCGGGTGGTCTCAGTCTGTACTCCGCGCAGGAAGGGTAGATGGGAAGTACTTGGCAAAGACCTAATAGCAAAACATCCCTGCCAATCCGCTAGGGTGACTGAGGGACAGACCAAGCAAGATGGGAGGAATTGTTAGTGGGAATGCTATGCTGAAAAGCTGATGCTAAACTGCTATGCTGAAATGTAATGTGTAAGAAGAAGTGAAGAATTTTGATTGAAATTATACAATGAACTTCTGGGGACTTGAATGTGTGATGAAGAGAATAAAAAAAAAAGTAAAAAGTTAGGAAAAGCAGCAGAATATTTGAACTGCAACGGCGATGATCTGTCACCAATGCCAACGGCATATGATGACACCCCATAATACGCTTAGATGCGTTTGATGGCTGCATCGTTACCAAACCTGTGAAGTTTTGGGCCGTTTGGAGCATTTTAACGAAGTATGAAAAACCCATGTTTCAATGGCGAGCTCTTGTGTTGCCATGGCAACGCATTTGAAGAAATCTCCAAACTGTTCCTAGCGACATCGTGTTTTTTATATGGCGAGGGATGCGTTTCCATGAAACGGCATATGATGACAACCCCATAAATTGAAGTAGAGCTGTTGAGGCATTGACCATTAACCATTATCTGAAGTCTGGTGCTGTTTTGACCCTTTTCATAGGCGTTACGACAACATGTGTTTTAATGGCGAGGATGCATTTCCAGCCTATGGTGAGACTCGATTGGCGTAAAGCTGTGAGGCCATGGACCGGTGATATACAAGCAAAGTTGGGGGACTGATCGGACCGTGTCCATTTGGAGTAACAGCAACATCGTATTTTATGGCCGAGGGATGCGTTTCCATGGACACCTCCATAATTACGTAGAGCTGTTGAGGGCAGGACCATTAACCATTATCTGAAGTCCTGCTGATGTTTTTATGGCAGGGATGGGGGGGGGGTGGTTTGCCATAGTAATACCACATTACGTATCTGATTGATGAAGATAGGCTGTGTTAACCATTAATCTGAAGTCTGGTTCTCTGGCAATCAGTTAAGTTATGAAATCATCGTGTTCATGACAACAGGTGTTTATATTGAGCTAAATAGTGTCCAGAGATCAAAGTTTCACATGGTGATGTGCGTAAATCAGTGAGAGGAAGAGCGGCTGCTGTGGGGGGAAGATGAGCTGAACTTACAATGTGTTTTAATGGGAGACATGTTGAAAGTTTTTCAATTCATGCCCTCAAGAAGGCATTTTGTTAAATTATTTTGCTTAATCTTTTTTTAATTTTTCAAAGCTACGAGATGTTTTCCTACACGTTTCTCATGAACAATTATGTCTCTAGAATTAAGGGTTTGCGGATTATGGCAGGTGTAAAAGAAAAATATAAAGGCAAAATTAAATCTGTCCGTCCAATCTAGCTGTGACATCACGCACCATAAAATCTGAAGAAGGCCTTTACCCAAGGTCTGAACAATGTTTAATATCTCTAAAAGTATGAATCAGATTAAAAGTTGTGTTTACACGAATAATGTCAGAAAGATGTGTAACATTCTAAAAGTTGGAAGTGACGGTTTCCTGAGTGAAAGTATGAAGGAGCAGTTAGCAGTTGAAGTTGCATGAAGATTGTTCAAGTCTGAAGAGTTTCTCCATTGACTTCCATGTTAAACATTAGATGAATTATGGGATGTATCTCTAGAATTATGAAAGTAATGAATAAGAAAAGTAATAGCCATCGATTCCCGACCGAGCTGAACGTTTTGATGTTTGAACGGAGTTTCTGCGATGTGAAATGTGGGAGAAGAAGAGGTGCAAAATAACCCGGCGGAATGATAAATAATTTTGTGCGTCAAAGAACAAGCAGTATCAGCATTCCCACTAAATGACTCAACTACAGTCCAAGTTTGAGTATTTCCATTTGATGCTACATTATACTTCTACTCCACTACATTAAAGAAAATAATGTAATTTTACTTACTGCTACTTTTAACAAAACGCATCTTTAAAAATGGTACTTAAAAACTAGTTGACTAAATCTTTAAGTCACAAATGAGTCAAATAATTTAAATATTTTAGAAAAAGCCATTCAGAAATGAGTTTGTCTACCACAGTAAAATGCTACGTGAAGCAACAATATTATCTAGAAATGTCACATATATAAATACAATTATATACACATCAAGGCCATTTTTCTACACAATGATTAATTTACTCTAATTTACTTTAATGTACATTTAGCTGAGAGTTCTTTTGTACTTAAGTATGATTTTTTAATGCAGGACTTTTACTTGTAATACAGTATTTTGACAATAATGTATTGGTACTACTACTCAAGTAATGCATCTGAATACTTCCACCACTGCAGACAAGTGAGAAAGAGAAATGAAGAACAAAATAAGATAACGTGAAAAGGTACACGGTTATAAGCCGGCACTTTGCATAATTCTGATAAGAAAGCAGCTGTCAAGTTTAACATAACTGTGGATATACTGTACAGTATGTATCTTCAACACTAGAATTTGAATAAACAAATTATCTGAGCTGAGTCCGGCTTTTCTCGCTGTCCATTTATTCTGCTCTGCTTCACTTTCTCTCCTCCCTCCTTTTCATTTCGCCCTGCAGGAGCCACTACTTCACATGAAGAGCTGCACATTCAGAGAGCCGTAGCTGGTGGTCTGCCCTCACTGTGGCAACAGACCACTTTGTAGAGGAAATGTGATGAACAGGCTACAAGCACTCAATGGTCAGACTGCTCCTTTCTCCAAGCCTTAACCAGCCTTAACCAAAAGCACTTGCTTCTGGTTCTGCTACGTTACTTATGATGTGCAGATCTTTGACATTTCCAAATCAGACACAGCTTAGCTGCAAAGTAGGTTAACACATAGGAGGAATTTTCCTTGGTGTTTATGGTGCATACATAAACAGAGTTAAAGAAGATACATGGTAAGAAAAGGACCAATTTGGGAAATGTTTTCGTTGCAGCAGCATAAAAAGACAAGGCATTGGATATTAGAGCAATTAAAAGACTAGAAATAAACATTCCAAAATAAATTAAGCAATATACATTAGATGAGATATAGATATACCAGTAAAAATGTAATAGAATAAAAATAAAATATATGCAGTATTGGTATGACAAGTAGAAAGCCATGCCGATATAAGATGTAGCTTTGTGTACAATGTGCAAAGTTCATCTTATAAAAAGGGTATAGTTATAGTACTGTATTAGAGGGGCTGGAATATGACACGTGCTTTGAGAGAAGAGGTATTTGCACGCTACTGTATGTCGAGACGCTCACCAGACATTTATGTTCATGTCTCCCAGCCCCTTCCTCCAGTGGTACAAACATCCCAACCCCCCACTGCAGGCCACAGAGGCATGATCACACCCCGCCTGAAACGCCCTGTGGCCGTGATGGAGGCACACATCTTTGCACGTGACACAAGACCCACTCGCTTGTATACTAACCGGCTATCTCAACAACTTTGTTGCGTAACAGGGTTCCACTGAACCGTAAAGTGGACTGACCTTATTTGTGGTATGTGTGTGGACACAGACAATCAATGAGTGAGTGGGTGAGTGGGTGAGTGAGTGAGTGAGTGTGTCCGTGCGTGCGTGTGCGCGTGTGCGTGAGAATACACCTTTGTCAGCAGGGATTGTGGTTGAAAAGCATTTATTTTTAACATTAAGTGAACATTGGGAGCGCTTCTGAAGGCTGCCATGCTACATTTAGGCTGTAAACAGAAAATATATTTAAGCCTAAAGACAAGTTGTGTGTGTGTGTGTGTGTGTGTGTGTGTGTGTGTGTG